TTGTCTAACAAATAAAAAAACGTCACGCAGTTTATCCTCTCAGATATTTAAACGAGAAAAGAGAGAGTCTTGCGGAAAAAGATTTCGCTACTCAACTTCCCTCGATCTCCGCGAGATTCTCGCCCACGTGCAGCAGTTGTTGCGGGAAGTGGCTCTCGTTTTTCTCTTTAAATAAACTCGCTTCTCTTCTTCATTAATCAATCGTTTTTCAACACAGAAAAAATCCAGCAATCTCTCAGCGTAAGTTTTTCAGAGAGTGTTCATAGAATTTAGTTCGTTAGGTCGTTTCACGAGTGTAGCGTGATTCGTCTGCCATGGTTGTATCCTGGGACTCTATATTCGTACAGTTTCGTCTCACTACGGAGCGAATATTAAGAGTTAAGGAAAGAGATTTATCTCGCCTCCGTGTTTCATATAATCGTTTCTTTCCTTAACTCCGTCGTTCTTATATCGTTTAAGTCGATCCGGTTTTCCGGCTTCTACACAAGAAACCCTAAAAAACAGGAACACAGAGAGAGAGAGAGAGTTTGTTACGTTATAGCTTTGTACTCTCGTGGAAAAGAGACAGACAGAGAAAGAGAAGATGGGAGATGGTGTGACTCCTCCACTTCTGATAACAGAGAGAAACACAACGATGTTGCGTGTCAAGGAAGAAGTGAAGAAACAGCTATGGCTCTCTGCTCCTCTCATTGGTGTAAGCCTCCTTCAGTACTCTCTCCAAGTCATCTCCGTCATGTTCGTTGGCCATCTCGGTTCTCTTCCTCTCTCCGCCGCCTCCATCGCCACCTCCTTTGCCTCCGTCACCGGTTTCACTTTCCTCGTACGTTCCTTCATGGATCCTTGACTTTCTCTTTGTGTGGGGCCCTTGAATCCATTTCTTTGTTACTTTATGCATGTGTCCGTATCAACATTGCTTGTTATTTGTTAGAACATGATTAGTAGAAAGAAAGTTCTTAGAATGGGATTATATAACTGAATATAAGAAATCATTCTTAGTTTTTTAATTAAAAGTTAAGAGAAGTTTTTTTACATTTAGCTAAGAACTCCACTCTAAAAAACTCTGATTAATAATGCTCAAAGGACATGTCCTAAGCATAACCAAATAAAACATTGATATATAGCCCAAATTTCTAGAAAAAAATTATAAGCTCTCAAATTAATAAAAATAATTATATAAAATTTTACTAAACTGTCTATAATCCTCGAAATCTTTACTAACTGGCTCTGATTATTACAAATGTATATGCTTCTTCATTGTTGTGTTCCTCTGCTGTGTCTGAACAGTTGGGAACAGCGAGTGCGTTGGAGACGCTATGTGGCCAAGCGTACGGAGCAAAGCTATACGGTAAACTAGGCATTCAGATGCAGAGAGCAATGTTTGTTCTTCTCATACTCTCTGTTCCTCTCTCTATCATATGGGCCAACACTGAACATATACTCGTGCTTGTACACCAAGACAAAGCCATTTCAAGTGTTGCTGGCTCGTATGCTAAATACATGATACCGAGTCTCTTCGCGTACGGGCTGCTTCAGTGTATCAACAGGTTCTTACAAGCGCAGAACAATGTGTTCCCTGTGTTTGTCTGCTCTGGAATCACCACTTGTCTTCACTTGCTTCTTTGTTGGTTGTTTGTGTTGAAGACTAGTTTGGGATACAGAGGAGCTGCTCTCGCGATTTCCATCTCTTACTGGTTTAATGTTATTCTACTATCTTGTTACGTTAAGTTCTCTGCTTCTTGCTCGCATAGCTGGACCGGGTTTTCGAAAGAGGCGTTTCATGAGATTTATGATTTTTCTAAGATTGCTTTTCCTTCAGCAGTTATGGTCTGGTACGCAATGAAACTTAACATGGTTAATGTCTAGTGTAACTGGAGTTTAACTTGTTCTGTCTTTGTAATAGTTTGGAGCTATGGTCCTTTGAGCTTCTGGTTTTAGCTTCAGGGCTTCTTCCTAACCCGGTTTTAGAAACTTCTGTTCTTTCAATCTGGTAAGTTTTGTTTATCACTGACAGAGCCGAATCAGAGATCTTAAAGGCCATAAACATTTACTAAGAAGTTTTACAAAAAAATAAATTCAGAATTTTAGGAGAGGACTTATCTTTATAACTTTGAGCCTTTTCGAGGAGGACCAAAGTCAATGTTTCATTGGGCTTTGTCCGGATCAGCCATCATTATTGGTTCTCAGGATTCATAGTTCTCTATTATAGTTTGATTAACACAAGTTCTTTTAATTTTTCAGTCTAAACACTTCACTAACAATCTGGCAAGTATCAGTTGGTCTTGGTGGTGCTGCGAGGTAAGTACATTGGTAACAATAAATATCCTAAAGTATTTAATTTTTTTTTTTTGTTATAGTAAACTCTGGTTCTTGTTCTATGACTTGCAGTATAAGAGTCTCGAACGAGTTAGGAGCAGGGAACCCACAAGTGGCGAAACTGGCTGTATATGTCATTGTAAGTATAGCAGTTGCCGAGGGTATTGTGGTTGTTACCGTTTTGCTGTCTATACGGAAGGTTCTTGGTCGAGCTTTTAGCAGTGATCCGAAAATCATCTCATATGCTGCATCGATGATACCTATTGTTGCATGTGGAAACTTCCTTGATGGTCTCCAATGCGTTCTCTCAGGTTCTTGCATACTCAAACATAATAATAACGAGTTTGGTATTGGTTCATATGGCTGATATATAATGTCCGGTTAATCTTGGTTTTGATTTATGGTTGCAGGGGTTGCTAGAGGATGTGGATGGCAGAAAATTGGAGCATGTGTAAATCTTGGATCATATTATCTTGTGGGAGTTCCGTTAGGCTTAGTGCTCGGTTTTCATTTCCACATTGGTGGTCGGGTAATAATCTGAAAACTTAAATCCTCATACTTATCTATAAGACTAGTTTATAGAGACTGTTAAAGGTGTGGTGTCATGTCATGTTTTTTTTTTGTATAGGGGCTTTGGCTTGGAATTGTAACAGCACTAGCTGTTCAGGTGTTGTGTCTGTCCTTGGTCACTATATTCACGAACTGGGATAAGGAGGTAACTCTGTTTTTTACCTTTCAACCGATCAGATCATATAGTTTCATCTATATATAAGAGGATCTGAAAGTGCAACCTGATGTGATTCTGAATGCTTTTTTATTTTGATATAAATAGGCAAAAAAAGCTACAAACAGAGTTGGAGACAAAGACGAAAAAGGTGATTATGTTGAACAATCAATTCCAAGATGAAGAAAAGCATATTGGATTTGCAAGTGAGCATAGTTTAAAACGTTATGGCGATAATTAGTATGTTGATTCTTCTACAATTATTTATCAGACATTAATTAGTCCATATATGCTATCATCTTTCACTTGTGAACATGTGGTAGCTGTATACTTTCGGTATCAGTTAGTCTAAGCTCTCGTTAAACTACAGTTTGTAAAGAGCAATAGTTTCTCTACTCACAAAGCCTACAAAAAGTAATAAGAACAAGAGTTTTCTCTACAAAAAGTAATGGCTTATCATGATCTCTTATCATTTTTAATGCCTTTTGTTAATCTTTTGGGTTTTCATCCAATCCTGTTGGACGAATTCAACAATATATGGTTTGTTCGGTTTGAATGCAAATTCCTATGGAGTATTGGTTGTTGTTGGTTTTTTTGTAAAAATTCATGGATCATTTATCTTAGATTTTTATTATATTTGCAGTTTCAATTATATTATGAGCAACTGAGAATAATGATGCTAAAAGCACATATAGTTTTTATTAATGATGGATGTATCATGTACATGATGATTAGTTAATCATCATCATCTGCCAAATAAAGTTTCTCTGCTTTGTGTGTTTATAGTAAAACCAAAAGAATGAGATTCGCCATGTTCATCATCACTAGTAGTAATATGACATGAATAAGAAGAAAGAAGCCTGTTACGTTATATCCTAAAGGAAGTCAAGATCTAGTTTCCTCTTCAGATTAGATCTATCCGCGCTGCAAAACAAAGAAGCCAAGAACATCACCAAAAATCTCTAATCCTTAAAGCTGAACAAGAACTAACTACAAAAGGACTAAACCTATTATGTTTTTTACCTGGTGATGGTTAGTCGGTTTGGTGTCCGCTCGGCTAAGATAGTAAAATCTAAAGACTTAGGTGCTTGTCCATCATTACTAGCTTGTTTCATTACATCAACACTCTGGTCTTTACCAGACCTTCCTCGGTCAGGCATCACTCTTCTAAACTTATGCGCTGGTGACAACACCGTAATAGTTTTGAGTTTACTCTCAGATGATTTACCCCCTGCTTGATAACTGGTCTTGGTAGCTTTAAAGGATCAGTAGGAGAAGGTTTAGATGTGAAGTATCTGACAAAAAAAAAATGTCAGAATAACCAGTTTCTATAATACCATTCTCCATAGTAAAAAGCTTTACGTACCTGTGGTTTAAAGCCTGATGAATCGATATTCTTGATTTGGGATCATAAGTGAACATCTTTGACAACAAATCTAGAGCATCTGAGAGTAACTGATACTCTACATAATCAGGAAGTGATAACATATCTGGCCACTGATCTTCTTTAGGAGTCCCAAAAGTAGCAAAGATTTTACTTAACTGATCAATATCACTGTTCCCCTGCAAATAGAATAAGTCAGCTACAAATAAGACTAAACATATCATGAACACAAGCTCACCTGAAGAAAAGGTTTACGCAGTAGAAGCTCGGCGAAGATGCAGCCAGCAGCCCAAACATCAACAGCAGAACCATAATGTTTTGCACCAAAGAGTAGCTCAGGTGCTCTATACCATCTAGTAAAGACCTGGTGAGTGAACTTACGACCTGGACTACCAAATATACGTGCTAACCCAAAGTCTGCGAGTTTTAGTTTCCCATTGGGTCCTATTAACAAGTTGTTAGGCTTCATATCTCTGAAACACACACGCAAAAGTTAATAAAGAAATGTAAAACCAAAACAGAACTTGTGTATGATAAGTAGTTAGTTAGTTACCTATGCAGAAAACATTTGTTATGGCAATACTCAAGACCTTTGAGTATCATTTGGAGGTAAGATTTGACGTCAGAAGGGGAGAGAAAGAGATTAGGATATTATCTCTAATAACTGCTTCGAGGTCAGTCTCCATGAACTCAAACACAAGGTGCAAATTCTCCTTGTGAGGAAACGCATCAACCAACTCAATTATATGAGGATGTTTAAGCTCTTTGAGTAATTTGATTTCTCTTAAAGCTGTTATATTCACACCTTCTTTCTCTTTACCAAGTCTTATCTTCTTGATCGCTACAGTTTTTCCGTTCTACAAGTAGTGTATCAAGAAAAAGAAAAAACAAATCAGTTTCTTGTCACCCAAGATTCAGAATCATTGACAGAATTATGAACCCTATACCTTAGTAGTCCTTCGAGTTTAGGGTTGTAGTTATATCTACTAAATTTAAGTAATCTATCTTTCTCAACCTGTATCGAAATTATCTTCATGTCACTCATACATGAAGCTGTCTAAAGTAAATTTTTCATTTTGAAGAATTTTTTGTAATTTTTGGAACACTTTGATCTCTGTCGTGAAAGTTAGTCAGTTTACCGATAATCTTCCAGGTTTAGGTTTAGGTTTATAGTTATGTCCACTAAATTTAAGTAGTCTGTTTTTTTTTAAATCCTATCAAAATTATCCTCATGTCGTTCATATATATATGAAGCTGTTCAAAGCAGGCCCGGGCTTGAGCACATACTTAAGATACATTTGTATGGGGCCTAAAATTTTCAAAATTTATGGCTTAATTTTTTTACAGTTTTTATTGTTACTTTGTTAGGATATCCCCTATATATTAATTGAGAAACATTTAAAAAGATGTAACCTCAAGTTTGTAATAATTAAAAAATAACTTTGCTGAGTTGTCAATCAATTAACATGTCAATTAAACTGACGTGGCAGTTTTAGGTTCAATTGGAAAAAAATGTAGATCTGAAATCAATTATATATTTCGCTAGGGAAATATTAATGTCACACCCATGTGCATTTAAATGTAAGACTATAAAACTCGGTTTACATTAATATCACACGCATCACATGGAAAACTTACATAAGCTTTCATATAATAAATGGAAATAGAAAAATAGAAAGTATGATTCGCATAGAGAAATAGAAAAACTTACATGACATGGAAGAAACCTTCTCGAATCGTGCTTGGGATGAGTACAACACGATGAGTAAGTCTTCGTAAAAATTAAAAATAACCGTAATTCTATATGGCATATCTCTTTGGTTTCTATTTCAAATCCCAAGGATTATAGAGCATGTGATATAATGTATTCTAAAATTTATATTCTCCAGCAATGTAATATTTCATAGGCTATAGTTGGTCGTATATATCAAATCCCTTATATATTAAAGGAGAAACATTTAAAAAATTGTAACCTCAATTTTGTAATAATTAAAAAATACCCCATGCTTAGGTGTCACTCAATTAGGTAATCAATTACATTCAATTGAAAAATAAGTAGGTCCACATTCGATTTTTGTATGTCGCTAGATATATTTGTTGGTCAAGTTATATGATATGATGATATGATATGATATTTATGATAGAAGAATTTATGATTGTTCCCCTAGATATAATTACTATTTTTTTTTCTTTCCATAAATAAAACCTACGGAATTACCATAAATGACTAATATATATATATGACACTTAATGATTCTAATAATAAATATTTGATAACAGTTTATATATCCTCCATCACTTTTCTTTAATTTTATATTATGAAAATAAATTAAACAATCAATTTAGCTATAAAATTAAACTTTAGATTTTTTCGTATAGGTTATATTTTGAATTTAAAAAAACGAGAATAAATAACTAACCTATTAAAATTATTATGTTAAAAATTAATGATCAATAGTTTAACATTTTTATTATAAAAAGATATACATGATTTTAAAACCATATAAGTAAAAAGTATCATTCAATAATAAAACAAACATATATACAGATTAAACTATATACCATATAAGATTACATAAATATTTTAATTTCATTTTTTTTTATTAAATTTTTCACATTGAATTTTTTTGTTATCAATGATTTAAATATCTTAGTTCTTTTTTAATTTTATTTTTTTAAAAGATATTAACAATCGATAATATGGTTATTTTTGGTATATACCATACAAACCGAATGGGTGTGATTTTATAAAAACCATAGGATTTGAATATGGTTTGATTTATAATCGATTAAACTGAAACATGTAAATATGTATATATTTATAACGACGCATGAGTATTTATTTGTTACATGAATTGAACTATAATTATAATTTGTAAATAGCTAACAATTATTACAACTTAGACTTCTTATTTTGATCTTTTGCTTTTTTTAACAGTAATTAAATTGAAGTAAAGATTATAAATTTGATGGACAACAATTAGTTGAAATTCTTTACAACTTTTTTCTATCTTTAAACAACCAGAGTTGTGTTCAATCGAAGACATATTGGTTTGATGAACACTAAATATGGAAGAATATAAAAACTTTTCTTTCATGCTTCTGTTTTGTTTTTTTATTTTTATTTTCAAAATTTAGTGTTTTGATATTAATTCTAGATTTGATCATTTTATTAGATGATAGAAGCCTTTTTTGTTTTTTATTCTTTTATTTAAATATATAATATTTTTTTAATAAATGACTCTGCGACAATATGACTCTAAATATGATCATATTATATATTTGTATAATATAAAATATGATCTTAAACTAAATAATCATGTTTTTGGTATAAAATTGAATAAACTGAGAACCGATGGTATATAAACTAAATCAAACTGAAGTACATATAGATTTAGAATAGTAGTTATATTTGAATAATCGAAATACCAAAAAATTGAGCCGAACCGAAATCCGATATCCGGATTGAACACCTCTAATCCGAATGAAACCGAACTATTGTTTCATTTTTCAAAACATAATAAAAATAATAGATTCATCCCGCGCAAGGCGCGGGTCTTATCCTAGTCTATATATATATAAAAGAGGGTTTTCTCTCATACTATGTTGTCATGTCACTAATTAGGTTCCTTAAGTGATGACATGTGGCATCTCTCTTAATACGCTGCGTTTGTTTCAGGTTTCTTTGGTTTTTCATTTTTGTTTCAATTACGGCTTGAGATTGTTGGGCCACAATAATTTATATCTGGACTGTTACAAAAAAAAACTAATCACCTTCTTCAACGATTGGGGCCTCTCGACATCTACTGTTCATCATGATTTTTAACTTCTCAGTACTTATTCATCTCCAACAATGGAGTTTCAGGAAAGCTATTCAGGCGAATTGTGATGATGGTTTCCCGGATCAAGAAGTCTTGGTGTAGTTTCATCTCCGATTCTTCTCCCCGAACCGTTAGGCGATGAATTGGTTGTCTCCGATTAACTACCTTCTTAACTTCTCCGACCGACTACAATCATAATGCATCTTCCCTCTCATCAAGGCGCTACATCTATAAAATGTTAGTCTACACACCGTAAGCATCATCCTCACAAGTCCAAATAGCATTTGGAATTTTTATTCAGTAGAATGGCGTTGTCTCAAGGCGGGTTCATAAGTGTCTTAGTTAGAGATTAAAAGTCTTTGCAAGATTTGAGAAACAATTCCCGAGTTCTCTGCACATGTAACGAATCATATTTCTTAGTAAAAACCTTTAATTGTTTGGTCTTTGATGTGTTCTGATGTGTTTTGCTCAGGGTTAGTGTTCAACGTTTTTTTTTCCTTACAGAACAAGGTAGGGACCATGAACAAGATAGAGATTCATGGAGAGAATCAGAAACTGAGTCTTCATTAAGCCTTGAGTCTAAAAGACCCTACTCGCAAATTCTATGCTTCTGCTAGCTTGCAAAAAGGTACACATATCTCCAACACAATCTTATGCACACACACACACAGACACAAAATATCTCTACTCTGTTTGGTGTTGGCTATCTGAGTCAGCCTATGTTTAATAGTTTGATGTATGATTAATAAGAAGGCCAGGTTCTACATCCCAAGGATCGGGTGACTCATCATCATCATTCCCATACTTTCTTAAACTAATATGGTTCATGAATTCTGTTACTAAATACTTTTGCAGATAGAATAGGCGGGTCTATTTGAGTGCACTTAGTTGCTTTGATAGTTGCTGTCGCCTTTGAGTTATCTTCCTTTGATGAGTCATAACTGTGCTTAAGTGTCAATTTATGTAGTTTGGGGATCGTTTCTAACTTCAATGTTCCATCTCTTTATTTCCATTCACGTTCTTAGTAAAACCTTACTGTGTCTAACTAATAAGCTTCTTCCTGGACTTTAAGATATTGCATGTGTATTTGTGCTTCTGAAATTCGGATGTATACCACTTTTGAGTTTTTGGGAAATTTATTTAAATGTTATTGGTCATAATTGGATGTATACCGTATGACACTGGCCTTCAATGAATCGTAATTCAAAATATGAACATCGCGACATACGTTTGTCAACATAGGTACATACGTTTGTGAGGCATTCATATTTTGCTATATCATTCCATGCCTCCCCCAAGACTTTCTCAAGTAATGAAGTGTCACGTTCTTGCTTTTGCAGCTGCAGTATTCACGGAAACATTTTGTGGTCAGTAGTTTCTATACTTGCACATCCGAACTGGTGTCCGCTTATCAGTCTTTAGCCCAAGCTTGCGCAGTTTTAACTGCGAGTGTGGATGGCACTGTGTTGTACGAATAACCTCAGTGGATGTTGTTAGCCTTTCCCCATTCTCAAAAGCTATATAACTACTTACGTTGTGTGATGGGTATATGCAATTTAAAATTTGTGGTCTTTTTTCCCGTTCATTACTTTTTAAAATAATTTGTACATCTTTGGGTGTTCTCCTCTTTCACGTTAGGATAGAAAATCATTATTAGTTTTCCCATTAAATCGACAGAAAAGAGCAAATTAATTTTTCCAGTTTAATTTTTTAAAATCTTAAAACATAATTTTGGTGAATAAACATTGACAAATCTAAAGTTATAGTAAAAATATGTTTTAACATGTTATCTATATATATATCTAAATTTTATTTAAATAAAGGATAAATTCAAACAAATAAAAAATATTTATTTAAAAGTATAGTAAGTTTCTCTAAATATATAATAAAATAATAAAATATAAGATAGTCAATATAAAAATTATTCAGAAAATAATGAGTAAATTGTATTTCTAAAAATATAATCGGTTGTTTGGATAATATTTCATTTAGTCTCTATATATAAAATATATAAAATAAATTAGTCTATTTATTTGAATAGTAATAATTAATATTATGTTTTCATTGTATTTACCAAACTTTAGATATTTTTCTATAACAGTGAATTCTATAGTTTTGGATTATTTATATTAGTGATTTAAAAAGGAAAAAATGAAATAAAATGTCAAAAGATCTAAAAAATATGTACAAAATAGAAAATATCAGTGTTTTGGGCAAAGATTTAAGAAATTTTATAATAATAAATAATGTAAAATTTACATGCTAATAGAAATTTATGATCTATATATAACTAATAAAAACAGTTTTAATATTAATTATATGTATAGAAGGATGAGATGTGAATGTGTTTTCATTAAACACAAACAAAGAAATAATCACTAAAATACAGTATACAAAAATATATTTGACAAATAAAAACGTAAACACATTATAAAATAAAAAATAAACGTCACATTAAACAAAATAAAGATAATAAATCCGCGCGTAGCGCGGACCGGTCCTAGTGAAATATAAAATGGTGACTAATCAAAAATGTCACATAACAAAATACATGTAACATAATAAATTTTAGTTATTTTTCCTTATTTTAATTACAAAAATAGAATGATAAATTTTAGAACTAACAAACTTCTACTAGTATTAAAAATAGGGAGAAAAACTAGAATGACTCAAAATAATGGTGTTATTACTAGAATGACTCATATTTATTTCAGAATTATTAGAATGTTTTTCTTGTCAAAATTGCCCTTGGCTATAGTTATACCAAAAAAAAAAATTAATTTTTTAGGTCGTCGGCAGATTTATTTAAATCTATCGCACGACAGAGTTTTTAAATATGTCTATCGGATGACACAATAGATTTGTCTATATTTTGCTCGATTTGTAAAGAAAATCGATTTTTTAAATATGTATGTCGGATGACACAACAGATTTGTAAGAAACACAGATTTTTGCGATCGACTTATTCTCTTATGGCAGACTTGTTAAATTATGACCGATTTGTATAAAAACTCGATTCTTATTACGGTAGACTTAAGGTAAATCTACCACCGATTTACAAATGTTGCAGACTTGTTGAATTACGACCTGGTCGACTTATTAGTTTCTGTTGTGACAGATTTGTTTAGTTAATTCTCGGTTTAGTTAACCAATCTAAATTAAATTCAGATTAAATTCCGGTTTAGTTCAATTAATACTAAATTGGTCTGGTCGGAATTTGGTTTAATTAGATTTTTGTTTATTTCTAGTGGTTTAAGACCACAATTAAGTCTAATTTATTTATCGCAATTGTCGTCATCTTTTTCATCCCTATTTTCTTCCTTATCAAGTTGTCCCTTTCATGGTGGTTTGAACTATTGCTACAATTCATTTTGCTTGCGGAACCATGGATCACATCATTTTCGTCTGTGAGAAGTGGAAATTCCAAAAGAAGAAATGGTTATTTGAAGTTGACAATGAGCAAGGTAGTAAATTACTCACAGCTAACTTAACTTTATGAAGAAAAATTATTAACAAAATTAAGTCAGAGAGTTAGATTTGGTTTTTTGTGTATAAACGAAAAATTGAATAATATAATGTTTTGACTGATGAAAAGTAGCTTAGATTTATAAATGTTACAGTGAAATAAGAAAATATTATTACGCAAGAAAGTAACAAGTTGTATAACCTCTGCTCCTCCACAAGTATCAGAAACTCACCGTAATCTAAAGACTCTGGTGAAAATAAAATTACAGTAACTTGAGTGCCACCTTAATATTTTATTTTATTTTGAAAAATAAAAATATATTACAAAAAATAAAAAAATGAAAATATATATAGAACACAAACAAACATAACGGCTGGAGACTGAGATGGAGAAGAAGCATCAAACCAATCTCTCATCAATATCAAGCAAGGTTGATCGTGAAGGAGACATAAGGATGTGTCTCTGAGCCACCTGCTAAACAAGCCATGGCAGCTCCTCCATCCTCCTCACTTTTCCAGTATAAACTGCACTGTTTTTTCAAACAATTAGACTCAAACATTCAGCTTCCATGTAACCTATGCTCAGAGCGATAAAGCAAAGACTTTTAACATACCTGTTGGTAGAATCACACGTACGTTCAAGTATGGAGTGTACTTTCTTTCACTCTTCACAGCCGGAGATAAGACATGCCTGGAAAATAACTCATTGGCAAGAGAAGGTAGTTTGGTCAGGGAGTTAACAAGAGTGAGGGATTTAATTGAAAAGGATAGCTTGAAGTCTTAACTTACCAAGAACGCTGGAGGTAAACCATATCTCATAATGCTCTCGGCTAATATGCGCACAGCACAAAAATGCATCCAGGAGCTAAAAACCTACACATATAGACTAAAGGATCAAAATAGATTCCCGTATTGATTTATAAGATGATGTTACCAGAGCATAGCTTTGTGTACCTCTCCGTAGCTGGTGTAGATAATCTTCCAATAGAGTTTATATGAGTTTAGAAACTTCCAATGTACAAACTTTCATCAAACAATCTTCATAAGAAAACTTACAGGAAAATAATCAGTCTTAAAATCAAAGGAATATTGAAATTGGGATTTAGGGTTTTCTAAATTAAACATACAATCAAGTAATGTTAATAAAACAATAATAAAACAATCTTCCATAACCAAACTTACTGTAAAAAAGAACAAGTCTATCGATTTTAAAGTGGAAGGAGGAGGAAATTAAGATTTAGGGTTTTTGAGATTAAACATTCAATCAAGTAATATATATTAAAAATATAGAAACAACTTGGAATTAAATAAATTTAGCACTTACATGTTCAATTTCGTCGATTCAAAATGAAGACAAACCTTCCCAAGGTTTTCCTGTGTACAAAGATTCTGAAATTGAAGGGTTGTGATGGAGGAGATGAAGAAATAGAAGGGGCTGTGAGCCTGTGACAGATGAGATGTTGTCGGAGTGGGATAGGGATGACAGCGACTTTCGATCGGAGATTCTCCAGTTTTGGTTTTGTATCTCGCCGCAAGAGAAGATCCCGACAAAAGCTTCTTTTTTTTTTATCACAAAAGCCTTCTTCTTTAGTTTTTCTTGTAACTATTTTAATTTTTTTTTTCCTGCAACTAACACTACCATTATCGATCCATAACGCATCAATTTAATAGGTAGAAAGTTGGAATATCAAAAAAGACGCTGTCTTAATTTCTGTAGAATTACTATAATCCTCATTTATTTTCTCCTTTTCATTAACTTTTTTTCAATATTATGTTTCAAAAGATGCGTGTTAAAAAAGTTTAATGGGGAAATGGTTTTTCCATTAGAGAATTTGTTCGTTCCTCTCAAATATTTTGGTTATATTCATAGAATTTCAGTTAAAATATTTGGCTCGAGAAAGAAAACTAGTTTGGAACACTCATTCAAGCCTGACGTACCTAATTAAGTTTAAAAACTTACCAATTGGTTTAGAACACCTAACCGAACATGAACCATAAAACCGAAGTCGGTTCGGTTCGGTTAAGCTTTCCTGAGTTCATTCAGAACCGCAAGGAAGGAAGGCTTGTTGGACAAGACGCTTTTAATTCCTTACTTATATTCCGTTTCTCCTCCCCTCACACGCCGGAGAAGATCCAAAACAGACAACGAATCGAAGCCCGAACTAAAACAGATCTGTAGAAGAAGATGGAGTGTGTATTCGGTTTAGTCGGGAACGGATTCGCAATCGTAGCGGCGGATACATCGGCGGTTCACAGCATCCTCCTCCACAAAAACAACGAAGACAAGATCATGGTCCTTGACTCCCACAAGCTCGTCGCTGCCAGTGGCGAGCCAGGAGACAGGTAACTTCCGATGGCTCCTCTTTCTCTTTCTCTATATATGAGTGCTTATGCCTTTTTTTGGAATTTGGGGGATTTGATTTGATTGATTAGGGTACAGTTTACGGAGTACGTTCAGAAGAACGTGTCATTGTACAAGTTCCGCAATGGCATCCCTTTGACTACTGCCGCCGCTGCTAACTTCACTCGCGGCGAGCTCGCCACTGCTTTGAGGAAGGTATTATGATTTAGGGTTTTCTGATCTTTTTCCTTTTTCTGCTTCTATGAAGTTGTGTGTGGGCTATATGAATCAAGATTTTAGTGTATCAAAATTGAAGCTTTCCTCTGTACTCAGAGGTTGCTGATATCTAATTTCTTGAGTTTGTGGGGGTGTTGATTATTGTTGTGATTGAAGGAGTTTTGTGAGTTTGAATTGTCTAGTTAAGGGTTTGCCTCGTTAGTATTTCAGTTAAGTAAGAGCTGTGGATAAAAAAAATGCCTATGTTTTCTTACTGTTGGAATTGTAGTGTGAGTATCCCAAACTTAAAAAAGGAACTTACTGCTATATTCTGTGCTTTAATGTCATATAAAGCATTGTATGCTATCTGGTTTGTCTAGTTAAGTTATGTGCTTGAGTGTCATATAAAGCATGGTATCATATATGTATTGTCTACTTAAGTTATGTGCTCGAATGTCATAAAGCATGGTAGTAGTCGTCTAAAGCCTGATGAACAATAGAAGCTTATGAAGTTTCCTTATATTGTTATCGTCTGGAATTAGTGATGCATCTTTTTTAAGTGGAAAAGATGAAACTAGGTCTGAAACGTACAGTTTCCCATGTCTAATCTTTGTTTTAGACTGTAAAGGCTAAAAATGCTTCTGTTTTCTTTGTTCTATGTCACAATAGACGCACACAGCCTTTTCTGTGGATTTTCTTGTCTCTGTTACGTTTATGTTTTTTCGCCACTTCTCATTAATGGCCAAAAATTTAAGATATCTCCTTGTTTGTTGCCTTTGTTTCTTTGACCAGAATCCGTATTCCGTGAACATCTTGATGGCTGGCTACGACAAGGAGAGTGGCGCATCCCTTTACTACATCGACTACATTGCAACACTTCACAAAGTTGACAAGGGAGCTTTCGGTTACGGCTCTTACTTCTCCCTCTCCACCATGGACAGGCATTACCGCAGCGACATGTCTGTAGAAGAAGCCATTGAACTGGTCGACAAATGCATACTCGAGATCCGTTCAAGACTTGTCGTTGCGCCTCCAAACTTTGTGATCAAGATTGTTGACAAAGACGGAGCTCGTGATTACGCTTGGCGTCAGTCTGTTCAGGACGTCACAACTGCTGCTGTCTGAGTTTGTTTTGATTTACGTTGCGACATTTGCCTTTTTTTTGGAAGACTTATGTTTCTGACTTCTTTTATTTATAGTTTGAACAGCAAACAAATAACATTTTTAAAATCTCACCCAAGACAATGACAATATCTCAAAACAAATATACGTAAAGCATAAATCAAATCACATGAGGAATACAAAGGGAAGCAAAAGAACAATGAAATCAGTAGAATTTAAGAGCTAGGAGGCTGACTCCGAAGAAGAGAAGAGATGGTGAGAGAGCGTAAGCGGATGAAGGAGTTTCAGAAGGTCGACTGGTGGTGCTTCCTCCGTCGTCAGAGGTAGGAGCAGCACCGTCCACCGTTGGTGTAAAAGGTCTGGTTGCATCAGACTGTGGTGTCTGAGCTGCTGGAGTTGGCTCAGGAACTAGTGGAGTTGTTGCTGGACCTGGAGACATCGCTGGTCCAAATGTACCAGCAGGTCCTGTTCCAAACACAAGCTCTAATCAGTTAATCATCCAAGCAAACTAATCATGTGATTTAATCGAGATAATAATGTAATTTATTGTTTTTTTACCAGGAGCAGCAGCTGGAGCAATATTGGCTGTTCCAAAAAAATGCAAAATATTAGATAATGTATTCAATCAGGTGCATAAAAATGTAATGTTGTATAGATGAATAAATGTATTTACCTTGGCATTGAAGAGGGACTCTAGGCATGTTGCAAGCACGTGGAAGAGAGACGGCGGTTGTACGGTTAATCGGAATATTAAAAGGGACACTTCCGGTAACAATAAGACAGAGACATCCCATTCCTCCGGTAGTCAAAGACCTCAATGAGTTACAACAATCAGACGAAGGTGAAGTTCCATTGGTACTGCTGTTGGTTAAAATGCTCATACAAGGACCTACGGTGGTCATCATTGACGGAGTACATTGGCTAAGAGGTGGTTGCTGGCTGCGAACTGGAGAAGCTAGCACTGCGATTAAGGCCACTAACACGATCATTGTTCCTGAAATATTAGACATTGTTGATTTGATTAAAGATTGTTTGTTGTTCTTTGTGTTTGAAATGGTGTTGTGATGGAGTAGTAGTAAGCAAATGTGGGATTGGTTTTATAGGTAGACAAAAGTGGAGGGAAGGAAGCAAGTGTGTATAGGTCAACTACTATAACTAATTTTGTTCATTTTCGTTAATAGGGTAGTGACTTGCCAATGAGGTGCATACACATGTACAGAGGAGTGTGGTAGATAGCTATCTAATTGGTGTTTGATTGTGTTAGATGAACCACTCTTCCATGATTGATTCTGTTTTGGTAACTAATCAGGAGATTCCGTTTTAACTTAACAGCGCATTAATATTTTTTTGAGTTATGACAAAATGATCCCAAGTCCTAACTGAGGTTTTTCGACACGTGTTGGTCAAGTCAAACATATGGATCAATCTAAAGAAAACCTTTATATAATGTTTATTCGTAATTAGCAGAACTCTTAAAACCTCAATCAAGAAGTAGTTCAACAACCCAGCCTAAGACCACCGTCACAAAAACGACCGCCAAAAAACAAACTGAATGAGTTCTGTTCACAACACACTTCGTGTCCGAATAGAGCAAAATAAACTGTTAAGGAAAGTACGAGAAAAAGTTTGGTCACCAATATTAAAGCCACCTTTTGTCATTTTTTACTACTTGAATTCCTTATATATATTCTTCATTTAATCCCCAAAATACATCACAAATACAATCAAACAAACACAACACAACACAACAACAAAAACTCAAAAAAATACTATATTCTCTCCAAACACATCTCAAGGAAAACATGAAAATGGGAAGAGGTTTAGTGTTGTTTACCGTTATTATGGCTGTGATGGCTACCACAAGAGTCTCTGCTCAGTCGAGTTGCACAACCGCGTTGATCAGCATGTCTCCCTGTCTCAATTACATAACCGGAAACACTACCTCTCCTTCTCAGCAATGCTGCAGTCAGCTAGGTAATGTAGTCAGGTCTTCTCCTGACTGTTTGTGTCAAGCTCTCAACGGTGGAGGCTCTCAGCTTGGGATCAACGTTAACCAAACACAAGCTCTTGCTTTGCCAAGGGCTTGTAATGTTCAAACCCCTCCCGTTAGTCGATGTAACAACGGTAATAAAAAAATTTCAAGAAAATCAAGATTGTTCCAAACCCCAAAACTACTTGTGAGTCTTATGCATGTATTATTTACATTTTTCAGGTGGTGGTTCTACTGCTAACTCTCCAACAGATTCGCCAAACTCTTCAGGTAAATGAATTTAAACAGATGTAGACACACCAGTCTCAGTATATTGTATGTTATCTAATGAATTCATCTTGGGAACATTATTTTAGGACCAGGAAATGGATCGAAGACTGTGCCAGTAGGGGAAGGAGATGGACAATCGTCAGATGGAAGCTCTATCAAGCTCTCATATCCTCTTCTTACCTTCCTCTCTGCAGCTTCTTACATTGCAATCTGCTTGAAATACTGATTTCTTCCCATCCACGTTTCTCATGAAACCGATGAAGTTTTTATTCCACTCAGATTGCTTTCTTTATTTGTCTCTATTTATTCACATTTTCGTTGAGACTTTGTGTGATGTATTAAATCCTCTATGAACCCCTATTCTACGGGGTAGCATGTTGGATCTCTTTACCTTTTATAATAAGCATTATTTTCCAAAATACCAATTTTAAAAACACAACATTAACTCTCAAAGAGACACAGATAGTAGATAGTAAAAGTAACTAAAAATGTCCCAAAGGAACATAGAACCTGTTTCAAGTTTCGTATGAATTAGATCATATTATAATTTGGAATGTGGATATGAGATAGGCCGAAATAATAGACGGGCTTTTATAGCCCATTAAAATCGTCACCTGTTTATTTCTATCGAGTTATAATTAAATTTTCCATTAAAATTAAACCGTTTTATAACAGACTATATGCAAGTTACATAACCATGGGATCACCAAAAATATTTCTACGGCCGTTTAATCTCTCAGACGCCGGAGACGTTCTTAAATGGGCCGGTGATGATGACGTCACACGCTACCTCCGTTGGGACTCTGTTAAAACCGTGGAAGAAGCCGAACAATACATCCTCCAAAAGGCCATACCACACCCATGGCGCCGTTCCATCTCTCTTGTTGACGATGGTCGTTCCATCGGTTTCGTCTCCATCAAGCCTGATGTTGGAGATGGTAGTTGCCGGGCCAACCTCGGTTACGCAGTCTCCAAAGAGTTTTGGGGGAGAGGGATAGCCACGGCAGCGGTGAGGATGGCGGTGGACCAAGCTTTCGAGGCTTTTCCGGCGGTGGTGAGGATACAAGCGGTGGTGGAAGTGGAGAATATAGCATCTCAGAAGGTTTTGGAGAAAGTTGGGTTTGAAAAAGAGGGTTTGCTTAAAAAATATGGCTTTTGCAAAGGAGTGGTTAGAGATATGTTTTTGTATAGTTTTGTTAAGGATGATTGTTGATTAGACTAAGGGAAATAATGGGAAGTAACTTGATAAGATCATGTTTTTGTCGAAATT